GGGGGGGGTCTGTGCCCTTCCATTGCTATTCCTCCTCCAGGACAACCCCTCTTCCCATCATCTCCGCCCCCTTTCCATGTGCCTGTCGCCTTCCCTGCCTCAGTCCCACCAGCCAGGCCTGTGATGGAGTCTCCATTGTGTCTGGCCTACTGGATGATGTTTTCTTACAACTCAGTTGGGAGTTTTGTGCGCGGGGCCGGTTGGCTACAGCCCGGCTTCCAGAAGTGGGGCAATACCATCCCTCCTTCTCTGTCTCTAACTACCTGACTGACTCTGGGATGTGGCCAAGCAGATGCAAGCAATTTTCAGGGAATTCCAACCTGAGATCAGTCCTGTTGCTGTAGGAGGTCTTGGAAAGATATTAGGAAGATAAATGGCTCAGAAGGGGGCAGGTCTGGCGGGCCCCCACACTCCTCTCCAGCTCCAGCTGCAGCGCTCTGAGCTTGGAGGTTATGAGCCTTCAGACTTGCAGCGCCTCCAGGGCCTGGCTGTCCCACCCCGGTTAGCTAGCGTCCATGGAAAAATGAAGCTGAGGAACATTTTATAGCTCTGCCTGGCAGCCAATATTGGAGGAGACGCTGGTGCCGAGCTGGGGCCCCAGACCACTGCTGTGGCTGCTGCTTTGGCCCTCTGAGTGAGCCATGGTTTGGTTGCCATGGCGCTGGGTTTGTTGCTGACTGTGCATGGGTGTGTATTTGAATCAAGCTCCTAGCTCTGGCCAGAGGGAACTTAACTATGCCTCCCCACTGGAGGGAAGCAGAGTGAGAGGCCACAGGAGTGTCCACCATGAGGAAGGGCCAGTTGAGTCACATGGAGTCCCCACCTCACCTACGCCTGGGTGCTTCTACAGGTGTTCTGTGGTGCTTGTTGTTCTTCAGGGTGGGCAGCCTTGCCTGGCCCTGCAAGGGGGTGTGTGTGTGTGAGGGAGTCTGTCTATCTCGGAGGGGTTGTGACTGCACGTACACTTCAAGCTCCTTAAGCTCCCAGGAGGTGAACTTGGACTTGACCATGAGGTGGCGTAGAGAAAACAGTGGGTGGAC